TTGACTTTGATATAATTAAGTATGAGATATTTTACTGCATAGTTGTTGTCTCTGAGCAATTTTACACCTCTTTTGAAATCTTCTATTGTGTTGTCTACTGGGAAGTGTTTTGCAAGGTTGATTGATAATTCCTTGAATAATGGTGGCAGTTGAGCTTTTGGTAGGAAAATCAAAGTAGGATTCTGGAAGTTTGCTTGGAATATAATAGTTTTTCTTAATTTGTCTATATGGAATTTGAGATCTGCAAGCTTATATCTTTCTATAAGTGGGAAAAGATAAGCTATTTCTAAATTAAGGTCTTTAGGTTTGTTTAAAAGGTCAGATTTTTTGATAAAATAGCTAGTGAGGATAAGGTCAAAATTATAAAAGACTCTCAAGCTGCTGACAATTTTACTTGTGTCTTTGTTTCAAGTAATTGGAACAGTTTTGGGAGGTCTAATTTTTATTGCAGTAGGAATTTTACTTGGATTGGCAGGCAGATCAGATTAAAGATAGGATTTTAAACTATGTGATGCTAAATGTCACCTGATTTAAGTTATATGTAGATCAATTTAGGTTATAAAAGTTTAATAATCAAAACAGATAACAAATAGTCATCACCTGTTTAGGAACCCATCTTTGGCTCAGATAAGTTTTTTTGGATGAGTTCTTTGCATGTTTTATATAACTTTTGATAATTAATTTTTTGGAGTATGGAATCGATAAAGAAATTAAATCCATACTCAAGAAACTAGGCAACTTTTCAATACTTAAATAATGCTAGATCTTTGAGCAAAGATAGTCAACAAAGAGAACCTTATTAATTATTTTTCTGATTTTATTATATGTGGTTTTGGTGACATATCCCAGATTATTGGCTTGACAATAGTTTGAATGAAATTGTCTCTCGATTTTCTCATACTATTTTTGGTATTGACCTTTGATTTATTCATCCTTTGAGAATGTTCTGAAAAAATCATAATCATTGATTTGATTTTTGAAAAAATTCCTTTAAGGGAAGTTTTTAGAATGCCTACTGGTTCGTTTTTGATTTTTAGAAAGAAGTTAATTACAGATTTGACTGTTCTTTTACATTTGTTAAGTTAATTCCAGGATTTTTTTCTGTTCATTGAGTAGGGCATTTCTTATGTCAGAGGTGTTGGTGACATTATTCTTTTCAATTTGGTTTTCAATTGGATATTTGTTGATTTTATCTGCCCAGTCAATAGAAAGGAATTCAAAAGTCTCTACTGATTGGCTTGGGAGAGCTGCTCATCAATTTTTATGTTTACTGTGTCTGGTTGAAGTGGCTCATGTGTAGAAAGGTAAATGGGCATGTTGTGTCCTTGAATGTAATGCTGTGCAATAGGTTTGTCATTTGAAATTGTATAAGAACTGGGTTGGTCACTGCTGTGTTCTAGAGATGTTACATTAGAGCTAGTTTGATCGATATTATATACTGGAGTGCTTGCATGTTGTGCATTATTCTCATAATCAAGTTGCATGTTATTGTTATTGATCCTTTCTCCAATTAGAGCAGAAGTGTTAAGAGGAGATATGGATATTTCAGTTTTTTACTTCAGAGAAAAAGTTTTAACTGCTTCATTGATATTAATGTTAATTTTATTTTAGGAAACATGAAGCCTATAAGTAAGTTTTGTTTAAGAAGTTCTTTTATGATTTCTGCTTTATCACTGTCAGTTAGGCAAAAGATATGTCACTATTCAAAAAGGGAGTTCATTGTTTTCAGAGACATAAAGTTTAAAATGTTAATTTTGACTTTAGTATAGAGATTACCAAGTCTTTTTTTGTATACTTCAAAGGTGACTGAGATTACTTTGAAAACTTCGTAGTTATTTTCTTAAAGACGTAATAGTGTTAGCCATGCTTTTGGAGGGTTTTCAAATTTTGGAAGGCAAATGTTGGCAGTGGAGTTGGTAGTGTATACAACATTGATATAATTGTTTTTGTAAAAGATTACAGCCAGGTATTTGTCAACATTAGTAATAAGAACATCAAGTAAAATATGAGTTGGTTCAATAGGTAGACTCTTGAAGAAGGAGAAAGATCCTCTAGGATCCTTTATGGTTTTTTTTTATGAGAAAATTTTTCATTTGTTTTTATGATAGTTTTATTCATATGTGGATGTGTTTGGAAAGAGTTTTATTTATTTATTTGTTTTTTTTTTTTAAATTGTAAAAGGGCATCAGATGCAAAACTTTATTGATATATAAAATTATATTCAAGTTATATCAAACATCTTTATATACAGTATTACATAAATTAATGTTAACATATCTATGATGCTAATTATTACTATCCTTGGTACACTTAATGTGCTTTAGATTAGCTTTAGTGCTGAATGGTTAATGCCCTTTCAGAGCTGATACAAATGCTTGCATTTTGAGTGAATTGCTGCTTAGGTCCATTTGTGGATTCATTGTTTTTATAATTAGTTCTATCAGAGATGACTCCTCCAATGAGTTCTATTGTGTAATTGTTCTGTTAATATTTGTAATTACATGGGGATGGCCATTCCATTTAATTTATAAAGCTATTGAGATGATGGCTGTTGTCGACCTTGGTACTCAAATCAATGTGTAGAGTAATGCTAAGGCTTTATTTACAAATTTGGCTTGACTTTTTGCTGAAAGGTGAAAATCTATTTCTGTTATTTCACTTGCAACTTTGTTCAGTCCTAACCTTCTTCTGAGACTTAGTCTTTGTATTTGATTGTTCATGTTGACTAATTTCTTTTTTGGATTGCTTTTGTTTAAAAGTTTCGTTAAACTTTTCTTGAGTTTGGCTTTAATTTCTCTTTAGACTGGTATACTTTTGTAGCACTCAAAGACATGTTTCTGGATTTCTGCTTCAGTGAGACATCTGGGACACAAGTTATCTTCATATGTGTTGGGATATCTTTTGTGAAGGAGTTGTCTAGTAGGAAGTATTCCGCTAATCATTTTTGCCCTAAAGGCTAATAATGAGAGCAATTTATCTTGTTATTTTTGATAAGGAGTTTGTTTGCTTTGTTAGAGTCTGAAGATTACATATTTTTATGCTAGTGTTCATCTTTTTCCAATTGAAGAGCTATTCATGATGTTAGTGAGTCTAAAAATATGTTACACTTTTTTGATCCATGTTACAGAGCTGTAACCCCACATGTTTTTGATTCTTGGCCCTGTGATATAATCTATTGATTCTATTATATTGTCAATTCCTATAATTGATTCAATGTCCTGTTGTTCTAAGGAAGTTAGGTTTTTTTCCAGCTTTAGTTTAATGTTTTTTTGACTACAGATAGTATTGATACTTTCAATCAGAAAACTATATGGTGTTTTAACTCTTTGGTTCAAATATTCTGGCATTTTCAATTAGATTTTTCTTGACATGTTAATCGATATGTATTATTGGTTGTTTGCTGCTTCCACTAGGCCAAGAATTCCTAGGAGAGTATTTATTGGTTGTGGATTGCTGAAGTGAAATGTCATACTTGTATTGTGTTAATAAACCTCTAAAAGCTCTTCTTTTGCCACCAGATCGAACTGAAAAAATAGGCAATCTACAACCTGTTTGATATTTTTTATTGTATTAGAGTTTAGGTAAATTTCTGGTTCCTTGTTTTCTCAGAAGCTAATTTTTACTGTTAGGTTTGTTTTTGGGATCATTTTATGCTGTAGCTAAAGCTAAATCTCATCTGTTGAATTGGCCAGACAATATTCATTGATAGCTTTATATGTCCATAGAGACATTGTTTCCTTAATTGGTATGTTCATTTGGTATGTGTTGTAATAACAATTGTACTTCTTAAGAGTTTTGTCAGCCTCCAATTTATAATGCTTGCCTTTGATGAGGGATTGCATGCTGTTGTGATTAATTCTTGCCTTGATAAAGCTCAATTTATTATTGTGGATATAGGCCTAAAATCTGGCCCTTGTATTGGAAATGCATGTTGAAGTACCTTTATATCTGGATGTAATATTGATGTTGATGAATCAACTGGGGATAGATCCTTTTGGAGTTGGATGGAAGTATGTATTGAACTCATGCCATGACAATTTGTTGCTTGTTCTGAATACTAGTAAGTTCTCAAGGAACCTTATATTGTCTCTGTGCAAACCTAGGGCTTGACACCTCAAGTATTTGTTTCTAAAGAAAAAGTGCAACCCTAGGAATTACTAGCATTGGCATGATTGAATTGATAGTTGACTGGGCATATATTGATTTGATACTTTTTACACAATGCTGCTGCTTGTGTGATCCATGTTTCTGAAAATACTTCTAGGTGATATAATGGGCAGAGCCAGATGGCATGACTGATCTGAAAAGAGTTAATTTCTGTTTTTATGGCCTCTTACATTTTATGTTGCTTAGTTTAACTACTAGGAGCCTTGCTAATGTGAGATCTTGTCTTTCAGAGAAGTTTTTAAGATTGAAATCAGCTTGTATATATACTACTTTGTCTAATATGGTTTTTTCTACTTTCAATCTTCATTTGATTAAGTTGTTTGCTTTGGCTTAAAGGTTTTGTACCTGACCTTTAGAAAGGGAGCTTGAAAGGAGAGTGTAATCGAGTTTGCTAAGAATAATCCAGTCTAGAACCTGCTTTGTTATTGGGCCATTTCATCTTTGTTTGTGACAAGCTTCTATGATCTGATATATATTGTGAGAGGAAAAATAAAAACAAGAGTAACGCAATTGGAATCATGTGACTGGCGATCGACCCAGGATCACAAGAAGAAAAGGAAGGTAAAAATAGATCTGAAACCGGCACTTGTAATGAAATAATAATGATATAATTAGTGTTAAATTAGATAATAGCGCCAAAAAGTAGTAGAAATTCTCTTACCTTTCGTTATGTTTCTAAATTGTTCTTAAACTTTTCTTGTAAAAAAGTATAAAATGTTAGTATTTATTCTTTAAAATAAAAGGAAAGCAGATAATGGTGACTAAAGTGAATTAATAAAGAGAAATTACTTACCTCAGTCAAATCGAACACCTCGACAGAAACTATCCACCTGTCACAATATTCTCAATACTGGACAGCTGGAGGTGTTTTTATTTGAGTTTCCTGTGAAGAAGTTGTCCAGGTAGCGAAGGAAAGTCTTGCTACTAAAACGATTAACCACTGAGTTCATTATCTTTAGGCCTGCATCTCTTTGGAGGTGTTTGTCAACTAATGTAGTAATGAGTATTGTTTTATCTGCATTATATTTAATATTGTTCAGAGAAAGGAAGGAGCAGAATGTATCTGTGAACTCTTGTAAATGTTCTAAGAATTGTGCCATTAGGAGGATGTCATCCATATATATAAGAATGTTATGTGTGATTGCTTGGTACTTGGAGTGACTAAAAAAACTGAGACCATAGGATCATAAAAAATAGTTTATAAGAGTGGTGAAAGAGTTTCTCCTTGATCTAATCCTTTTATAACTTCCACTTCTCTAGTTTTGTCAAAGTTTGTTGCAACTGAGAGCTTGTGTTTTTACAGCAGATTGTAAAAGATATTGATGAGTTTAGCTAGAACTTTGATTCTCTTAAGGGCTACATCGAGACTATTGAGATTGACTAAGTCAAATGCCTTTGATATGTCAAAAGAGGCCATCCATAGTTTGTTGTTTAGATTTTTTGCAGTATTTAGGGTTGATGCTGCAATTGCTAGTGATTCCATTGTACTCTAGTTGGTAAGCCCTGCAAAACTTGCTTTTGAGAGTATATTATACTTACTTATAGTTTCTGATAATCTGGCATTAATTATTTTTGTAAAGACTTTTCTTGTGGACTCGATTAAAAAGATTGGGCACATACTCACCACTCTTCTTGACCATATAATTTTCTTTGGTAAAAGCACAATTGTTGAGTTTTTCCAGCCTATAGAAATGGTTTCGTCATGCAAAATTTGATTGTATAGCTGGAGCAACATTGTTTTGAGACTACTTCGAGGATATTGATCATTTCATAAGTAATTCCTGTGCTGCCTGGGGTTTTATCTAGGGATAGGTTCTTGAGTATGTTTGTGAGTTCATCAAGACTGACTGGACTTAGGCTGCTGTTGAACCATTCCTCATTAATTGAACCAATTGGGCTGTACTTTGTGGCCCAATATGGGTCTGAGAGGTTTACGCTTTTGTTGGATAGAATGTTCTCGAAATAGGTGATTATAATATTTTTAATCTCTTCTGGATTATCTGTTAGAACTCCCTGGTTATTCTGAATAAAGTTGAGATCTAGCAATGGCTTGAGATTATCCAAGGCTTTTTTGATGAAACTTTTTGGTCTTTTCCAAAATTTGATATAATTGGTGATGATGCTCTTGCTAATCTGTTCAATGTAACATTCTTTAATATTATTGAGTCTTTTCCTAATCAGAATATTTCTGATTTGATTGAGGGACTTGATGGAGATTGGCTCCGATCCAAGAATCTTTTCATAAATTTGTCTAATATGATTTGGAATTTTTGTTGAGCTTGATTTTTTCTTCCTTGAAATTGTCTTTTTGATCAATTTAATTGTGTTAAAATGCTAACCACCTCCATGCTGTGGACTTTTGTTGATTGTTGGTTTAATTATTGGAATATTATTTCTAGCAGCGTTTACAATGGCATTATTAAATGAAATCCAGGACTGGTTTTCTGTTATGGAGATTCTGAGTTCAACCTCTTCTTTGAAGTTTTTCTTTTGTTCAAATGTAGCCTGTTTCCAGTCAAAGAGCTTGGTTTAACAATTTGCCAACTTTAGCTTATATTCAAACCAATTGAAAATAACTTGGACCTGCTTGTGATCTGTGTATATTGATGAGGATTCTGTGGTTCTTGCACAAAGAACTTTGAAGACTATATGGCTTGTGCATCAGACTTGATCTATTCTTGAGGCATTGGTTTGCATAATGTGAGTAAATTCATTTTCCCTGTTCAATGTTTTTATGACATCGAGCCAGTCAAATAAGAAATTGTAGATTCTTCTTTTGTTGGCTGATATTGAGACATTGATTGCTGGAGTACTTGCTGGATAAGAGTTGAAATCTCCAATTAAAATCTGCTGTGTAGGACTTTTGAATTTTCTTAAGTGTTTCCGTAAGGATTTGACAGCAATTTTTTTTTTCTGTTTCATGCAGAAAGTACTGTATATAGCTATAATGATTAAATCAATTTTTGGTTTGAACTTTAGGTGCACAGAGTACCAATATCCATTTTCTGTGAATGTTGTAAAAATGTAGTTAGTAAGGTCCTCTCTGAATATTAAGCATGCTCCATTCTTAAAGAAGGCTGAAGGCTTGCTTGTGATAATGACCTTGTTATTAAGTCTTTTGGGTAGGAGGTTAAGGATAGAGATCTTAGTTTCAAAACAGCATAAGATTGATCTTGCATTTGTTAGGTCTTGTGTTAGAGCCAGTAGTTTAAATATTTCATTAAGGCCTTTGATATTTAGTGTCATTATGTTAAGTAAGTTTTTGATTGTGGAAGTTAGATTTGTTTCAGTTGTAGTGTGTTGTATGAAGCTATTTAATGAGCTGATATAGTTGAAATTGTTTGTCATTTTAACAGATAAATAGTACAAGGTCAAAACTGGGCTCCAACAAGTTCTCCATTAATATATATTTGTCTGGTAACTTGTCAAAATTGTAACTTTTGTGTAGTTGAATGATAAAGGTTGGGAGATTATTGTTGTTTCTTAGAGGGAACTGCATATCAATGTGGTTCTCACAGTTAATCTTGTTTAGTTCTTCTATTAAGGGGAGTGGCACCTTGGATGCTTTGAACCATTTCTCAAGTAGCAAGTGGAACTCATATCTATTATTGAGCTTTTTTATTTTGATTTGATAATGCTCATCCCTATAATCTAAGAAGGCACCAATTTCTAGCAAGCTATCAAGCTTGCTAATTTTGGCTGGTAATTTTTTTTTATTTGTTTGAGATATCTCTGGGTTGACCCAAAGAGATTCAAGTGGAAGGCTGAATTTAAAGTCTTTTCCTAGCCTTGCAATGAGGGCCACCGCGTTCTCCTTTGTGTTTACTGGTATTGGTATATCGATCTCATCAAGGAGCAGATTAAAGTTTCTGGGCAGAGATCTTTTATACTTATAGTAATCTATTGGGATTGTTATAAGCTTGTACTCTTTTCTCAGGATATCAATTAGTTCACGCATGTCTATTGCCATTGGGTTATGTTAGAAGTATCCTGCTAAGTGAAGAGAGAGAAGCTCATATGATACTGGGAGGGGTTCCTTTGGTGATGGCAGGTTGAAGTATGTCTTGGACAGTTTTTGTGATATGCTATAGAACCTGCTCAGTTCTCTGATTTACCTCCAATGCTTTCAGGTCTTTTCTTTCCATTATGGGAAATAATGTTTTGGTTGCTTTGTTAAGTTTTTTCATATTGTTTGGCAGTGGGAGAGGGGCAAAAAAGTATGAGTCTGGAAGCTAATTGAACTTGTAATAGGTGTGAAGGACTAAGAGACTTTAGAAATATCTTTTTTCCCTCTCATGGGTAGTTGGCAAGAAAGCTTTAATATGATTTTAGATGGAATTTGCTTGTGTGATTCTGGCAGTGGTGGGAGAAGCTCATATAACAGTTGTTTGCACAATTCAAATATTTCGATATAGTCTACTGTTCTATCATTATTCCTGAATAGATAGTTGCACCCATATTCTAGAAGTTGTGCTATTTCATAATATTTTAATTTTGTTAGGTCTGTAAACCTTAGGCATGCTACAAACAAAGAAGAATTTAAAATCCAATGAATTTTCTTTTTGGAGTTTCTATTGATATATCTGATATTATGTTGCTTTTTGTAATTTGTGTATGCTTTTTCCTCGAGGCTTCATATTCAATTTGATGATTGCTTTTAAGACATTCATTTTTTGTAAAAGATCTGAAAAAACCACTGTTTCTGAAAAGAATTTTAGTAAAAATGGTGAATTGTAGTTCTTGTATAACCAAGCCTTTGGGTTTGCTTGTAATTTCTGTGAATGTGTTAATTATCTCCTGGGTACTTGTTCGACATTAGCTCAATTGTGTTGCCAGCTTGATAATTATGTCATGCTCACTTACAAATGGTGCATTATTACTGATTATTTGTTTAATCAGCTCTTCATCTATTGCTTGTTGAGCATTGGGATCACTTTTCATAAGCAAGTTTATTACTCTTAGCTCTCCTGGATCCTGTGATTGTATGGATAGGGAGTTTGTTAAACTATTTGATATAATAGAAGGTTCAGATGTATTGATCAGTCGCCTATAAGGCTTGCTTCTTTATATGAGAAAGCTAGATATTCCTTGCTTGGGGTTATTGTTTCTGGTAGTTGGCTCGTGAGGGCATGCTCTTGTTTTAGTAATGGGTTTTAAGCTCCTCCAGGTTTTTTTGTACCTGTCTATTGAATTTGATTAAAGAATCTGTATTACTCAATGAAATTTCCTGTCCCATGGGGTCCATGGATATGTCAATTGCTGAGGCTAGGCTTGTTGGTTTGATAGTATTGTCAGATTTGTCCTGATTGGTGCCAGGGGTAACTGCAAGTTGAAAATCATCAACTTGTATCATGTCACATGTGTTTCATTGATTGTGTGCTGATATGTTGCTGTTCTGGTCACTAGCATATATAAGTTACTTGCCAGGTATAACTATAATATATTGTTGATCATTTGATGAGGTAAGCTGCCTGTGGTTTTTTGGAGTTGAGAGTTTCAATTATGTGAAGATTAGAGTTTTTGGAGTTGTCTAGTGCTATGAGAAAGTTGTTTTCCTGTACTGAAGTATTTGGTGGAAGATAAATAATTGCTTCCTTTACTCTCTCCAGTTGATATATGCTGTTTTCTCTGTTGATAATGGTTCCAAAATAGATGCCAGTTATAGTTAAAATTGTTGCTAATGACTTTTTGTACTATTTGTTTTCTATCGGTTTGTTCGAGTTTGTTGTTGTCCTGATAAACAAAAAATTTCTCCAGGTGGCAACTGAATTTCTTTTTGGGCTTGCTGGCAGTTGCTATAGTAAATGCTTAGTGGGTGGCTTTAGTGGTTTTTGAGATATTAAATTTGATGTAGATGGTTAGAATGTCACCTTGCTGTTGTGAGAAGTTCTCTTGTACCAGTACTATCCAATATTTAAGGCACTTAACAAGTGAAAAGATTGAGATATTTTTCTCTAGCAAGAAGACAAGAATATTTCGTGATATAAT